ACAAAGCTAAGTCATCTGAGATGGTCCTGTAACACCACTACACGTCATGGCTTTTGGAGAAATGTGTTATCCCAGGGAAGAGGCTGTCATCACCTCCAGGTGTGGGCTTCATGCAGTGCATATTAACAAGCGCTAACTGAGGTGGAGCTGTCACGGGAATAGATACGAGTTCCACGTGGGCCTATGCTTGGGTAACCCTGATGCGGGGGGGGGCTCTTCTATAATGATATTTAGTTTGTCTTTTTTATTAAATTGGATTGTGTGTTTAGCATGCAAAACAAAAATCTCAAATTATCTATACTTGCAACATATAAAAATAGCCATTTAAGGATATAGTCAACATATCTGCACACGCACACAAAGATTGTACCAAGGCAGCGTTCCCAGCAGTGATGAACACTCCCAAACCCTCACCCGTGTGGGGTGTTTGGGTAGGGAGGTCTCACTGCTGGTCTCTGTACGTTGTACATGGAATCAGTCTATTTTCAGGGAATAAAGTTGACATCATCAACTTTACTTTTACATCAACAACTTCATGACATCATCACCACCCTGCAGGTTTTATTACTGAGATGGGAGAGAGTTGCCTTCATCAGCCGTGGTGTTTGGGTCTGTCAGGTGCATAGGCATGTGGCTGTTGAAACGCTGTGCCCCCGTGGGTGGCAGGCGGAATCGAAGACGCCCACAGATTCCTGCCCCCGTGTAATGGCCCCAGCTCTTCACTCAAACGCTCATCTAGGTGTTGCTGTGGAGGGAATTTGATTTTGCGGGTATAATTATGGTCCTAAACCCGCTGATTTTAAAAAGGAAATGATCTCAGGTGGACCTGACCTAACGAGGTGAGCCTTTAAAAGGAACAGGGCTCTCCTTGGCAAAGGGACTTGTAGCACAAGAGGGCTTCAACCCAAGGGAGAGTCTCCACTGCCAGCTCTGAGGATGGAGGGGCCTCTGGGGGGAGAGGGCAGGGGCCTCTAGGAACTGAGAGACCCCCTGGCTCGTGCCAGCAGGGGACGAGGCACACACAGCCAGCGATGCTGATTGATTGCTGCCCCAAGGTACCCTGAGCAGAACCTTGACGGTGCCCTGCAGAGCCGGGGTGCCAGCGGGTGTGGTATAAGCCACTAGGCTTGTGGTGACTCGTGACCCAGCAGAAAAGAAGCGGCAAGTGCACAATGTGTCTACATTTGAGTATGGATATCTGTCCAGAAATACTGAGTAAGTTGCGTGAGGAGAGGACAGTTGTGTGTGTGAAGGTAGAAATCGTCCTTTAGACCGGATTTTAAATAACGTGTAGTTAGAAACAGAATTTCTGTTTCAGTTCTGCATCGAGCCCCGTGGCCTTGGAGGAGTCACGAGCGTCCTCGGGTGTCCCCCCGGGTCACTGCTTTCCAGCCGGGCTGTTGCGCCTTCTTGAGCCCTCCCTCCTCTTCCGGGTGCCCTCCCCCACATCCCCCCCCCCACGCCTCCCTGTGAGCCCCTCCTCCGCGGCCCGCCCCCCAATGCTGGCGACCCAGGGGCCCGGCTCAGCCTCTGGCACCCACAGGCGCCGACTCTTGCCCTGTATCTGCTCTCCCGACCGTCTGCTCTTTCCGCCTTCCTCTGTGCGTGGCTGCTGCCCGGACGGCCCTCAGCGCCACCACGCCGGGGCCCACGCATGCCGCCCGCACCACCTGCCGCCCGGGCCACCGCCTCACGGCCTTCGTGTGTTCCTGCCTCGCCCGCCTGCCCGCCCGGGGCTGACGGCTCCACAGCACGACGGGATCAGTGCCGAGGCCCACAGCACTTCAGGGGCCTGCGACGGTGTTTCTGTTTCTCTTAAAATCAGAAGGGACGAAATAACGAACTTGTAAGTTGCAGGGAGTGCTTCGACGTGTAATACTTATCTGTATGCCAATGCAGGTGGAAAATATAATTTCAAATACTTTTTCATGGCGGAAGAGGCCCGTGGAAGCAAAAGGGCCCACGAAAGTCACAACGCAGTCCTGACGCCACAGTGTTTTGCGGAGTGACGACGTTTGCCCTGAAGGGGGCAACGCGTCACCTTGCCCGTGGCCTGGCAAGTAGGGGAGGTACTTTGAGACACGACCTCAGGGGATGTCTCGCAACTCTGGGTCCTGGGAAGGGCTGCACATCACTGCTAAGTGGGAGCTGGTGCCTCTGCCCTCTTCTGTCCTGACGGGTGAGTCTGAGACAGGACGGTCCTCCCTTGCCTTCAGTTCCTGGCTGACGTACCTTGGTGCATATCTTGTGATGAGCAGAAGCGGCCAGTCCCTCGGGGCCACGTGAGGGATCCACTGTCCCCTGGCCGGGCGCCCCGGTTCCCTTCCCAGCATTGTCCCAACAGGGACTGTGGCAGGTTCTCACCGCCCCTGCGTGCCACCCCTTCCCCACCCGCCGACCCCGAGGACATCCACGCTTCCAAAGAGGGCGCGGGCGGGACGGGGGAGGACACCAGTCTGTGCAGCTGAGTCGGGTCTGGAAATCCGGGGGGTGATGTTTTGAAAGCATCTCATATCCGGGAGCCTGGATAACCCACCTTCCAAAACACTGACTTTATTGCTGGAAACGAGTTTATAAGGCTCTGGCTCACGCAGTGCCTCAGCTGGGAAAGCGGTTGGTGAGAAAGACGTGATTCTCTCTCTAGGGTATTATTAGATCCAGGAGAGAAGCGGTGTTCTCTGAACTTAGACTCCGACACCCTTTGCTGTTAGGACTGAAGCAGGGAAAGGTTACGCTTCTGGTGTCGGTCACCCTGCAATGGCCACGTTTAGTCTTGCTGGCTCCAGGGTCTTATGTGCCGCCTTGTTGGGGCATCTGAACTTGGCAAATGTGTGGTTCTGAACCGGCCTCTGACACTGGCATACACCCCCTGCAGTTGAAGCTCAGACCTCCCGAAGGGCCGCCAGCTTGTCCTGGAGCCTCTCTGAGGCCACCCATTCAGTGTTTGGACAGCTCTGAGTGTTAGTAAGGGCTCTAATGCTTGCAGATCTGTTTTCTGTTTGTATACATTCATCTTGGTTTTGCCTTAGAAAGATCTTAATCATCATTCCATGACACAGCTCCCTAGCCAAAGCAAAGTTCTTGGAGTCCTCTGTGCTCCTCTGTGGTTCTTTGTCATGGCAGCCCTAGCAAACTAATATGCTGACCACCACCCTTCTCTTTACGCCTGACCAGGGAAGGATGAGATGCTCACCACCCTGGTTTTTAGTGCGGGTCATGATCACTTAGGCCAGTCATGGTATCTGAGGCCTGCAGTTGGCCATCTCCAAGGGTTTAGTGTTTGTTTGTTCATCAAAAATATTCTTGCTAAGTCACGTTTCTTGCATCCTGTACTAGATGCAGTTAAGTTTTTGAACTTGGTTGTAGGATTTTGCATTTCATCCTATGAAATGTTGCCTGCCTCGGGCCGAGTATGCCACGGTCTGCCCATCTCTCAGGGGGACTTTGGAAGCCACATGGGGTGTCATCAGGGTTGGCCTGAGAGTTTCCAGCAGCACACCTTCTATTCCCTGGTGAGAATCCTGGGTGTGTGTAGCCAGACGATTGCTTTTCGAGGGACACGTGGGATAAACCTAACTGTCCCCAGGTAGGTTTGGGGACACAGTGCCCAGCGTGGCTGTGCCAGCAGTTCAGGCAGGATTCCTGGGAGGGGCCGTGAGTCGGAGCTGGCCTTGGTGCAGAACCCACGGTGGGAGCCGCAGGACTGGGCTTTGCTGAAGGAGAGCAGGCGGGTTCTGAGGAAATGTCCTTGCTCGGTCGCAACCTCACGTGACATGTGGCCAAGACGATTGGCTTCTCTGTGTCGGTGTTTTACTCTCTATCAGAGGGGTTCCTCCTGGGAATGAGGTGGTGAAGGCGTAAAGACCCCAAAATGATGTGCTGGGGTCCTGCTGCGTGATCCCACCGTTGCCTGCCGGGCTGCGGGCAAGTCGGTCCTCCCTGGGGACGTCTCAGATGAGTATTCGGGACAGAATTAGCCTTCGAGGATGAGCTGCTTTTAGAGAAGGACCTACACCGCCTGCTGTTCGTCTGCCTCAGGATCCTGAGACACTATTTTGCGAATGATTGTCCGCAGTCGTTTGCCCGAGGGCGGTACCGTGGACTTGCCGGTCCTCCCTGTGCCTGCCCTCGGCTGTGCTCAGTCTGCACGGACGGGCCTGCACTCAGCAATTCTGTGCCTCGGAGGACAGTCAGGGTCCCTGATCAGTGTGACGGGCACACTGTCTGTGAACCGCTGCCAGCAAAGGCACCCAGAACATTCCATGAGAACTGTTCTCCCTGAAGGAGGTCAGTGGTAATACCCATATGATAATTCTGCGTGGCTCAGTCAGCCGTAGGGAGGACCACACACTTCTTGACTCCATTCCCGCTTCCTGCACCCACCTCTTAGATGATGTTCCTGGAGGATGTTCACGGACAGAATTTAAAATTATTGTGTACTAGTTGCAGCATATCCTTGCTGGTCCTGGGACGTCAGGTGAGTTTTAAATCCCTGATCCTGTCCCCTCCTCTGCAGTATGAAGTCAGTATTACCCCTTCTGCCCACACGGTGATTACTGTAAAGAGTAAGGGGGTAATTGTGGATGTGCTTTGTGAATGTGCATGGATACGTTTATCTCTTACAGGCAAAGCAGCCTTTACTTCTGTTTACTGTGAACATGACTCCTGTGCTTCAGAATGGGGGCGTGTGTTTGCTTTTGATCTCAGCTGCCAGATTCATTACTTGTAACAGTTTGACCTTTCCCTTCTTTACCTTGACATTTCTAAATTGCAGAGTCTGGGGCTGAGGCACCAGGCTGATGGGCAGCCTTGGGAGTGACTGGTGGCCTCTGTGGGCCACAGAGATGCTGGGATCGGTGGGGACTGTGGAACCGGAAGCCCGAGGAGGGGTGGCTTTCCCACACACCCGGCCTGGAGACGGAAGCCTGTGCTTCCAGGATGGTTGGACCCCTGCCCCACCCTTCTGTGAGCTCACTGACCCTTGTGTGTTTCTGACGCAGATTTACGTCCACCTGAAGGAAGGCGGGGGCCCTGATGGGCTGGACGCGCTGAAGAACAAACCGCAGCTGCACAGCATGGTGGCCAGGAGCCTGTGCCGGACCGCGGCCGGGAAGAATTACATCATCTTCACGGGGCCCAGCATCACCAGCCTGACCTTGTTTGAGGAGTTTGAAAAGCAAGGTTTGGCAAGTGGCGAGCGAGTCTGAGCGCAGTCCCCCGCCCCCAAGAAGTGGTGGGCAAGGCTGGGGATGCAGGCGTGTGGCGGGCAGCACAGAGCACAGGATGCCGGGCAGGGAGGCCCTCCCCAGGGGGGACAGGTCATGCCAGCCTGCCGGCTGCCTGCACCCTGCTGGGCACTGGAGGTCTGGAGGGAGACCAGACTCGTGGTCTGGGGGACAGGTCAGGTCAGGTCTTCTGGGTGCATCTCTTCGTGTCCTTTGTGGTAAGGCCATGGCCATCCGAGGAGTCTTCCTAGTGTTTTAGTCCATTCGGGCTGCTAGAACAAAGTACCACAGAGTGGGTGGTTTATAGACCACCCTATAAATCCTTTTTATAGCTCCTATAAATAGGAATTCACTGCTCACAGTTCTGGAGGCTGGATGTCCAAGATCGGGGTGCCAGTGTGGTCAGGTGAGGGCCCTCTTCCAGGTTTCAGACTTCTCCCTGTGTCTTCACGTGGTGGAAGGGACTAGGGAGCTCTGTAGGGCCTCTTTTATAAGGGCACTAATCCCATTCATGAGGGCTCCACCCTCATGACCTAAGCACCTCCCAAAGACCCACCTCCAAATACCATCACTTCAGACATTAGGTTTTCAGCATAGGAATTTGGGGTGCGGCGGACACAAATGTTAAATCCGCAGCACCAAGGCACAGCTCCTACTAAGACTCTTAGAAAATCTGAACTCCCCACCCCGGTCTGTAATGTGGCCCCTTCCAGCTGGGCAGAGAACTGTGTGCATTAATACAGGCAGCAGTTCAATGGGCCTCAGAAAGGTGTTAGTTCCCCTCGGTGCTAAGATGCCTGGTTCATTTGTTGCCAAGATTGGGCAAGCCTTCCAGGGCTCTGGCAGAAATGGGGCTATAGAGACAGACCTGGGCCGAGTCAGGAAGCCCCATGGCAGGTTGTATGTGCCTTCACTTCATCCTACATCTGGGATTTATATCCAGTCCACTCGGAAGAAACGCAGAAAGCCCCCACTCAGCTACTCCAGACGCTGGAATTGCAGACCTGTTGCTTAGCAACAGATCTGATGTCTGGCCTTAAAACCAAACCTCCTCTGTCTGGACTTGCCTGCTGGTCCAGTGGTAAAGAATCCGCCTTCCAATGCAGGGGATGTGGGTTCAGTCCCTGATCGGGGAACTAAGATCCCACCTGCTGCAGGGCAGCTAAGCCCGTGAACAACTAGTGAGCCCACACGCCTCAACTAGAGAGCCTGTGTGCTGCAACCTGACGCAGCAAAAAAAAAAAAAAAAAAAAAAAAAAAAAGCAAACCCTCTCAAGTAATGGGGAGCCACAGCTTCCGACGTACGGCCTCAGCCTGGACCCTGTGCTCTTGCCGGCCTGGGCTCTGTCTTACTCTGGTCCCAGTGGGGCTCAGGGCTTAATTGTTGAAAGAATTCCGTGTGGAGAGGTCAGACTATGTGAAGAGGGGCCGTGGAGTCAAGTTGGAGAAAACTGGCGCTGAGGCACATTAACCCAGCACAATGGGTGCCTGTGTCAGAGCGTGGGTGAGAGCCAGGGCTGCCGTGCCCGCTGGCCCGCTTGTGCGGATCCCAGGGTGAGTGTCACGTGCATGGCCCCCAGGGTTCCCAGAACTGCCCCCCACATCGTCCGTGTGCCCTGCAGGCCCGCTCCCTGCCCCACACCGTGGGTGTCCCTGTCTCCTGGGCCAAGAGCCGCATGACATAGTCAGGACCCGCTTGTAGCATGTGGGCTGGTGGGGTGCTGAGTGAGGACGCCAGAGGCTTCCCTGAGAGCTGGGCTGCTGGCCTGGGCCCTCCCCGCACGGGGAATTAGCGGAGGACAGAGGAGAATCTTCCAGTGGGAAGAAAATAGTTAGACATGGAATTTGAAGTTTTCCGGGAGCAAAGATTTCTTCGCCTGTTTGTTAGAAGCATCTGAGGCTGCGAGCCCTCCCACACGACCTCCTGGGCTTCCCCTGTGATGACTGACACGCGGGGAGGTTGTCTCCACGTCGCTCACGGATGGCTGCCCCCCATCCGCAGGGACTCTGACTGCCTCGTCTGACCTGGTGCCCCCAGGGGCGTCTAACGGGCAGGGCGGCCGGGGTTGAAGACAGGAGTCCCAGCTGAGAGTCTGGCTGTCCCTCCTGGGTGCACAGAGGCTGCTCTGTAAAATAACAGCCAGGAAGGATATTCACGCAAGAGTGGCTGTTTTCATAAAGAAACTTGTGTGCTGCCGGATTCTCTTCTTCCCCTGTTACGAAAATGCAGCTACTCTCTGGGTGGCTGGGTTCACCGAGCCCGATGAGCGAGTTAAAACATCATCCCCATTCGTCTAATCCCTGTTTCGAAGACATGTTCTTCGAAAGGCCAGCGGAGTCTGGGTAGTTGGATCTGTAGAGATGGGAGCCGCAGGGAGCCCTCTTCTTTCTGGCAGCGAGAGGGGGCCTACCCCACCCCCCACCCCCGCGGGTGTTATTCCTCACCCACTGCTGCTCCTGGGGCGGCAAGGGGGACAGGAAGTCATCAGCCGTCCTTCCAGCGTTGGGGGGGATGCAGTGGAGAGGAGCGCATGGGCCTGGGACATGTGCGTATAGTGTCAGTGAGCCCGGAGGGGCGGACTGCTCACAGGCCTTCAGTCAAAGTGCCCCTTCACGTCCCCCCCGCCCCGGGTGTGGGGAGGGGCGGGCTTCCCCACGGCTTCCTGGGCGCGGGGAGAGCCGGAGATCACGAGCAGGGAGGGCTGGGAAAGACCTTGAGTCCCGGCGGAATTTAGAGAAGCCTCCTTGTTCCTGCTGGTCTCTGCCTGGAGGGTCTCCTGCCCCGTGGGACGTGCTGGGCGTCGAGGCCCCCCAGGAAGCCCCGCCCCCCAGGGGCCTGGCGCACAGCAAGGCAGGACCCCGTGTAGTGCGTGTCCTGTGAGAACTCCCTGCCTCCTCTGCCTTTCACTTGGCTGCACGAGACCGGGGCTGCCTGGGTGCCTGGCGAGTCTTGGTGAGGGGGCAGGGTGACTAGCTGGGTCAGGCTTAGACGGCAGACAGACCTGTGCTAATGATGCCCGTCTCTGCCCGCCCAGCCGGGAGCCTGCAGTTCCGGTGCATCACATGTGCTCAGAAGTTTCTAGAAGCAGGTGGGAGGTTGGGTCCTCGGGCTCAGCCCTGTGCTGGCAGGTAGCCAGCCCTCTGGCCGTGAGAGCTGCCAGTTGTTACTGCCGACTCCCTGCTTGCGTTAGCTCTTCCCTGCGATCTCAGTACGTCCGGACGTTGGGGGCGGTGGCACATCTGGGATGAAAGACCCTGGACTTCACCGTCTCTTCTGGGGGGGGGGG